TTTTATTTTTTATGGCGTATTATTCCTGCGACGCCCAACGCGACCCTTCTCGCCCAGTCGGTGCGCGTACGGTACGGCGCCGCACTCTCTCCCTCTCTTTGCGGCGAGGCCCCCTTGGCGCGCTTGGCGCGGGCCGCGGCCGCAGAGGTCCCGACCGCCCATTGTGCCGGTGTGGCCGGAGCCGCGGGCCGGGCCCAGGTCAGGGCTGGCCCTGGCGCGCGCGCCCGGCACCGCGCCCGGCACGTGCCCGTCAGAGGGGAGAGGAAAGGGGGAAGACCTATGGGGAGTCCTCACCTGCCATGGCCTGCTCGTCAGTCAGCGACTCGCCGTAGATGCTGTTGATCTTGCCGCAGTAGCTGCTGGCGTTGCCGGCGCTGCTGCTCCGGCTGCTACTGCTGCTGCTGCAGCTGCTGCCGTGGCGGCCGACGCCCAGCCCGCGGCCGGGGACGCCGGGCGGCAGCAGCGGCAGCCTCCGCGACGGCGGCGGTCCCCGCTGGCCCTTGGGCCGTACCAGGTAGATGGCCTCGTACACGCCGCTCGTCGACACGGCGTCGTCGGCCTCGGCGGGCGCGGGAGGCGAGGGCGGCCTCCGCTCCGATAGGACGTCGTCGTAGATGTTGTCCTCGGTCTCGTCCTCCTCCTCCAGGGTAGTGGCGACGCGCTGCGGGCTGGCCTGCGCCTGCACCGCGGCCGACGCGGGCCCCTGCTGGCCGGCGCTGTCCACGAACTGGTACCCCTCGCCCTCGCAGTCGTCGTAGTTGCCGCCGCCGCACGTCTCGTACATCTCCTGCTGCGGCTGCTCGTCGCGCTTCTTGACGTCCACGCCGATGTCGTCGTAAATGTTCTCGTCCGTCGGCGAGACCACGTCGTCGTACAGCTCTTGAGGGTCATCGTCCACCTCGGGGTTGTCATCGCGGCCTGCCAGAGAGACTTCCACGTCTGGCTCGATCAGGGCGGGGACGGCCCGGAAGGATGGGCCGTCATCGGTATCCTTCCGCTTGCTCTGCTGCGGGACGGGAGGTGCTGGCCTCCACAGGAAGGACCTGTTGGCCTGGATCTTGGCGTTCATGGCCTCCTCGTCGTCCTCCTCCGCGAGTGTGTTGCGCTCCGGAAGTGCCGGCGCGACGGGGGGTTCCTTCTCGTCGGCGATCTCGCCAGGAGGCGGAAGCTTGGGGGCTGTGACCTCCGGCGCGACAGGCAGGGGGACGGGGCTCACCGCCCTGGCCAGGATGTCCCTGACGGGTGTGCTGCTGGAGGTGGTCGCTGGACGCTGGTCCGGGGGTGGTGTGGATGGCAACGGGGGTATGGCATCAATGTCGTCGTCGTCAAAGTTGACCACGACCAGTCTCTTGGAGGAGTTCTCCGACAGCACCGACTTGGACGTCTTGAGCATCACCTTGTGGTTGTAGGAGCGTCTGGCCTTGTCCGCCAGGGCCTTGTCGGCCAAGGTCTCCTCCCTGACTCGGCGCGCGCCCGGGCTGACGGGGCTGACGGGTCGCTGAGGTTTGCGGCGGGATGTCTCCTCCTTCTTTGGCACATCGGATATGGCAGTCTCCTCCGCGGCGCCCGCGCCTAGGGTGAGACCGTTGGTGGCAGGGGGGTCCACGGCGGGAGGGGTCTGCGTCGCGCCGTCCTGGGTAGTGGGCCGCGATTTAGTGGTCTGGGTCGCGGTCTCTCCCGGGCCATGCTCGAAGATCTTCACGGCGGCCTTCACCTTGTTGCCGTTGGCCGCGACGCGCGATTTGGCGAACGACGGCCTCTTCCGGACGAGCGCCACCTTGGACTGCTTGTCCTGGAGGTCCTGCAGGTGGTGGATCTTGTCGCTGAGGGCCTTGACCTCGTCCATGATGGCGGGCGACACGGACTTGAGGACGCCCGCACGGTTACCGACAATGATCTTGATGTCCGGCGCCGGGCTGGGGCTCGTCGGTGACGTCGGCGGCGTGGTCTCCTCCATCGAGTTAAACTTGGTGGCGAGGGCCTGGACGCGGCTGCTACGCGTCGACGGGATCGTCACCTTGACGGCCGCGGTCACCGCCGGGGTGTGCGTCCGCGACTTGGTCCTGTGCGCCGCCACCTTGAAGGAGGGCTTGCGCGCGGGACTGGCGCCCCGCCGCCCGTCCGCGTCGGAGCTCTTCCGCGACAGGGCCTCCCTCCGCAGCGACGAGGCCACTGCCGTGGCGCCGGGCCGCGAGGCGCGCTCCCGCCACCAGTCGTCGGTGACGGTCTTGGTGCGCTGCCCCGCGCCGTTGGGCGTCGCGGCGGCCGCGGTGGCGACCGCTGTGGCGGAGGCCGGCTTGCTGGACGGCGCAGGTTCCACGGCCTGCACGGCCGGCTTGTCTGGGAGCAGCACGGCCGCCTTCCTCTCGAGGCGCTCGTGGCCTCGGACATTCTTGTTGTTATTGTTGACGTTGTTCTTGGGCTTGGCGGGCGGGCTGGGCGGCTCCTTCTTAGCGTCCAGGTTCGGCAGCTCGATGAGCCGGCTGAGCGCGCTCACGGTGCGCTTGCCGTTGAGCCCGAGCGGGCCCAACCCCGGTCCCAGCCCGCCCTTGTTGCACTCCTGCTGGTCGCTGATGACCTGATGCAGGAACGACTTGAGCGCCGGCCGCACCCCGACGACGGTCTCGACGCCGCCATCCTCGTCGGTCGCCTTGGCCTTCATGGCCTCCACGCGGAGCGCGCCGAGGCCGGGGCCAGGGCCGAGGCCTGGGCGGGGAGCCAGCGCACGGCCATTCACAGCGGCATCTGCAACAGAGAGACAGAAATAGGGGATCAGTCAGGTACGGGGAAGAGAGAGTGAGGGAGACCAAACAGGTGTTTTCCTAGTTGCCCATCAGTAAAAAAAGGGGTACATGTCGTGAAATGCAAATGCACCTGCCCACTACACACAACAGTGCCTCTTTCTCGCACTCCCAGCGCGTGCGCACCTACATCACATCATAGAGACGCCTGCCTAAAGCCCCTTCTATTCCTGGCCGCCGCAGGCGCGTCAGCCGCACATCATCAGAGCGTAAAAAGGTGGCCGCATCATCGACGATCGACGACAACGACAACTCCTCAGCGCGGCTGTGGGAGCGGCGTGGCGGCGCTGATCGGGCCACGACGCGGTCACACCTCTCGGCGGCGCCGCGGCTCGCACGCTTTCAATGGGCTATGCTGCTCGGCGGCGACAAAACGACACCGTCGTCGTCGTCACCGTCACCGCGCCGCGCGCTTTTTGCTTCATTCATTTTTGAGTAATGGTCAGCGAGCAAAGCACGGCACCGGGGCCGGGGCGGCTCCATAGCCCCGCAGGCGGCGCGCGCATTCACACGGCGGCGTGGCGCTCGCACTGGTGCCGCCTGGAGCCGCCTGCTGGACCTAATGGAGGCTTGTTTCCCCTGGGCGGCGGGTCCGGCCCGGCCTCGCCTCGGCCCTGATGCAATCGCGTGGAAAGCGGAGCTGCATATTAGAGGGGCGAGGCGGGGTGGGGCCAGCGGGGCAGCCGCGCCCTTATGGGACCGTGACAATGGGCGCAGACCCTCCGCGTCGACAAAAGTCTCCCGTCGTCACCGCACCGCTGTGGAAGACATTGTTCGAGTAGAGGAGTAGTGCGCGCCGTGTCAGCACCAGAGTGCATTAAGATAAAAGAACGCTCTGAACGGTTTCTTTTAGCAGAGCGCAATGCGTTATTATTTATGTCGTTGTTGTTGTTGAGACATCGGCAGAGGTACGAGGCATGGATGATAGTAAGCCTGAGACACCTCTCCGGCAAGACCTCCTTTTTTCTGGAGCATGCACGGTATGCGCCGAAAATTTAGCACTTTGCTAATTGTAGGGCGGGCTGTGGCCGCCTAGGAGGCCTGGTGAAAGGTCCCATGCTTCCCGCGGCGCCCTCCCGGCCGGCTGTCCGTCCGGTCCAGGGCGGCGGCGTGATTGGCGGTTGTTGCAGCGCCGGCGTTCCGTCCGTCCGAGCCAAGCCAATGGAAAGGTGTTTATGGCTGCTTTTGACGCCGCGCCACGCCACGCCACACAGCGCCGCGCCGAGCGACTTGGCCAGCCGATTTTTATCTAAACGCAGCGCAAAGGTGTGGCCCCCGCCCCGCCTGCCCCGCGGCTCGCCTGCTCGTATACGCGCGCCACGCCGCGCCAAGCCCCTGCCTCGCACGCGTGGTCTACAGCAACGAGTAAGGAGCGAAACTTCAAGTTCGTTACACAGGGCGCCTGCTTGTCGATACCATATCGCTCGCAGAGCCGGCGCGATACACCATACCGCCGAACCGAACCGACCGATCCTACATCGCACCCGTAACGCGACCAAGTCCGCGATGATATGAAATCCGCGCGAGCAATACCCTGCTTGCTGAGGGGAGAAAAAGAAACCTTCCGCCAGCCGCAATAAGGAGCAGCGTTACGTCCAACTGCGTCACACACACCGCGAGGGAGGACAAGAAAGTCGGCGTCGTCGTTGGCGGATTACGCCGTCCGACAGATAACTCTCGCGGCATAAGGCGCAGCGGGGAACTCGAAGAAAAACAGAATCGCTCACACACACACACGGCGGTGAGTGTGCGTGTGTCGCGAGGGTCATATTTCGATCGTCGCGAGCTGATCGGACACACACACACACGCTCTGACAGGCGAGGCGTGCGCTGGCTAGAGCCTTTCTCCACCCGTCTCCTACCCCTCTCCTCCGGAGCAGCACCAAGCACCAGTAGTATGGGCAAGCCCACTATGGACTGTAGCAGGGCAGCGCTCCCTCATGACCTCACCCCCCCCCCCCCCGTTCTCCTCCTATACCCTACACAGTACTCCCGTGCCGCATTTTTCAGATTCACCGCCTCACTAGTCCGCCCCCCGCCCTGCCCCGCCGCGGTGAGCAGCACGGGGAGGACGCACAAGGCGCGAGGTGAGCGGCCGGCGGCGCCCGCCCCTTTCGCGCGAAAGTGATTGTGCCTTACTGGGCGTGGTGGCATGGCGCGGCGTTAGGTAATGCCGAGCGAGCATATCGCATCGCATGGTATATGCCCCCCTACTCGCGCAAATGTCCAGCAGATTCATTATATTTTCTCTCTTTTTTGGTTGCTCTTGTTATTAATGCGAGAAGAGGCGACGGACGTAACATATTAACCCTATAAGGCATGGTGTCGTTTTAAAAATACGTTCGATATAATTGGCTCTATCGAAGCCATATTTCATTTCCAAGACCATCTTATTGTCTGAATATGTTGTGCAAGTTCCTGCCGAAGTTTAAAGCCAATCGGCGGACCTCTCCGAACCACTCAGTGGATCCAATACCGTCCTAAAAGTGACAAATTTCGATTTTCGTTGCGCTTGCCTACAGATATTCATATACCGATGAGGCGGGGGTAAAAGTGGACGTCTACTAGACTTAAACTTAATGAAAAATGTTCGCTGAACGTGATTCGATGTTTAAATCTTTGCTCCGGTGCATCTGGCAGCTCTGACAGTAAAAAAAAGTCGAACGTCATTTTGAAACGACACCATGCCTTCCGGGTCACTCGACATCATCAAAAATTAAAAAATGAAAACTAATCGACTGTTTTGGTTTCTGATGCTTTATTGATGAGGACTAAGGCAGTATCGAGTGTCGTAGTTCTGAATATAGAGTTTCTTTGTACTCATTTCAATGTTTCAACCTTCGGAACAAAAAGCGCACCTTTGTGCAAGTGGTCACTTTTGAGCGCAATTTTTCCTATGATGCATTCGTCATACGGTCTTCCTATTACACGAACTCCTAGTAAGTGTTCCTGAGATACTTTTGAGCATGCATATGTTACTTTCGGGCACAGCGTCTGTGAGTGAAAGCCGTGCAACAGCAACACTTTGAACGATACCGTTGTCGTTTTAAAACGACATATGTTGTTCTAAAACGACAATGGTCGTTCAAAGTGGTGTTTTGGCCCGGCCTCAACTCAGAGAAACTGTGCCCTAAAGTAACATATGTACGCTCAAAAGTATCTCAGGGACACTTAGTAGGAGTTCGTGTACTCGGAAGACCGTATGACGAATGCATCAAATGAAAAATTGCGCTCAAAACTGACCACTTGCACAAAGGTGCGCTTTTTGTTCCGAAGGTCGAAACATTGAAATGAGTACAAAGAAACTCTATATTCAGAACTAGGACACTCGATATTGCCTCAGAACCTATTATTAAAGCATCAGAAACCAAAAAAGTCGATTAGTTATCATTTTTTGATTTTCGATGATCGAGTGACCCGGAAGGCATGGTGTCGTTTTAAAATGACGTTCGACTTTGAGCAGGTTTTAGAGGCATTGTCTTTGAGAAAAGTGTATTTTTTTACTGGACAAGTTTTATTCCTTACACTTTTCTGCATACAACCATGCTGAGTTTACCCCATATTTTTCGAAGATTTGCCGTCTAAATCGTTCTCTTTACAAACACCCCTCAAAAATGACCCCAAAACACCTGTTTTGGGGCCTTATCGGCCACTCGTCTTTTTAAATATTGACATTTTTTTGGTGAAATGTGATCATTAATCCAACCCAGACCGGCCCTGAAATTTTCATCCACTTTAAAAACAAAATAAGAAATCATGTCGAGTGACCCGAAAGGCATGGTGTCGTTTATAAATGACATTCAGCAATCCTGAACCGTACATGCTAGAACACCCCACGAGGTCTTAAAATGCTTCTTAGACACTCCCTTGGTTGGCAGAACTCGAATATTCAACTTTGGTCAATTTGGACCGGCTCATGCCTTATAGGGTTAATTAGCAATCTGCCTGACAACACGATCAAAAAAACTGCCGAGTAATGGTTTTCGATATGCAGGTATGACATGCGCTTTAAATTTTCAGACTTGCATGTGTTCAAACATCTACCTTTATAAAACCACACAGAAACTTAAATCAGTCAGTCCTGAACTTTTTATTTGTCAACCTGGTGCACATAGATAGACGTAAATTTCCCTGCGTGTATCACAATTTATCCGTAGCTAGACTTAAATGGAGAAAAGGGAAAAAGAAGAAGAAGATCGGATCATTGCCTATTTTGAGTGAGAAGGCACGCAAACTAGTCAAGCGTGACACCCGATATGGCGGTCTTCTCCAGCAGCATCTCCAGGCTCCAGCAGGGTCCATCCGTCATTCCGCAGGACGAAGGCGGCGGCGGGCCTAGCATCGCGCTGCTGGACGCGTCCCGGAGCGTCCGTCCCGGGCGGCGGACTGGCCCCTCTCATCCATATTCACGGGCGCCCGCCCAATAACGTTATGACTTCCGCCTCGCGCGCGGGAGATTCGTTTTTCGCCCGCGCTCGGCCGCCGGTGGTCCTGAAGCTTTCCTCGAGCCCGCGATGGTTATCGCCCGACTCGACGCGGCACGACTGTTAAACCGTGATCAACTACCTACTATATCGCCCAGATGAGCGGCAGCGCCCGGCGGCGGCTTGATGTCCTCTCATCTTTATGAAGGAGAGCAAAAGAGAGCGAGAGAAAGAGAGAGAGATCGATGTGTCCCATGACCGATCGCAGTAAGTGATTCTGCGCGCTGTGCGGCCGGAGGCGTAATGTAGTGACGTGGCGCTTGTAATTGATGAGATCAGAATCGGCCGAGCAGGTGATCAATGACCACGCACACGCACGCACACACACATTCTCTCTCTCTCTCTCTCTCTCTCTCTCTCTCTCTCTCTCTCTCTCTCTCTTTCTCCTTTTCTCTCTCTCAAAAACACACACACACACACCTGTTGGGGTGCGAGGCGCGATGGTTCAATCACTCAGCCGTATAAAACAAACAGCACGCATT